TCCTGCCGGTGGGGGTTACATTCATGGGGTGGTGCTGGGCGGCACGGCGGGAGCCTCACTTGCTGTGCTGCGAGGCAGGGGCTCCCTGAGCGTGTTTCTGCTCCTGCTGCTTCACCTGCTGGACAATTTCCCTGATCTTGCGTTGTGCCGTCTGGAAGGGGGGAGCAAGAATTGGAGCTCAGGGTGGGCACAGTCTGCAGCCCGGGTGGGTGCTGCCCCCTTCCCACCCCTCCCCAAAAGCCTCAACAGCATCTTGCAAGCACAGAATCAACGTGGGCTGGAAAAGAGCTCCAGGATTATCAAGTCCAACCTTCCTCCTGATTCCCCTCACCACCACAGCGTAGCCTCAAGTGCCACATCCACTCGTTTTTTGGATCCCCTCCAGGGATGATGACTCCACCACCTCCCTGGGCAGCCCCTTCCAGTGTCCAACCCCTCTTTCCCAACATCTAAATCTTGCTGCTCGTTGCCCTTCTACTGCCAGAGGGTACACGTGGGCCAGCACAGCTGTAACAATGTGCTGGAGAAGGAGCAGCAAGCAGAGCACCGCAGGGTTTTCACCTCTATCCCTCCTCAAGGGCCTGAGTTTTGGGGTCCCACCCTCCCACTCAAGCCATCAGGAGACAAGGCTGGGGTATAATGCACCCAGGTGGGATGCAGGGGGCTGTGGGAGCTGCTTGCTGGCACTGATGCCAAGGAGAAGCCAATTAACACCTTGGATGCCACCAGGCTTGGTGTGTAAGAGATGGACTTTAACTCCATCAAGCCAATCTTTCATTTTAGAGCTGCCAAAACACCTTTAGTGCATTCTGGGTGCCCAGGAACCAGCCAAAACCTAGTGGCAGGATGCTTAAGGAGCACCGTGCTGTGCTCAGCATCATTCCTTGGTGGCTTAAACTGGCTGGGAAGATGGGAAAAGCCACGGCCAAACCTTACCTGGCTGGCAAAGAAATGCCCAATGATTTTAACGACGACCTCCTCGTTCTCGTCGGGGGTTTGGTCTCGTGGCACAATGACTTCTGCACTAGTTAAATTTTGGAGTTCATTCACCTGAACCAAACGACAGAGCCCCGGGGTGGGTTTTGTTGTTGGAAGAGCCCAAATCCTCTGCCACCAGGGTGACCCCTGGCTCTGAACCAGCACGAAGCACCACGCTGCTGTGAGCCACCCCGTCCCCACCCATGAAGAGCCACCGCCAGGACACGGGGCTGGGGTCAAGATGTTGCTGGGATCACTGAGCACGCAGATTTTGCCCCCCCCCAGGGTGGGCAGAGGGGATGGGTGATGCCCAGCTCTGCAGCCCCAGGGCATGGGGGGGCCACCCCTCTGTCCCCCACCTACCGTCTTGCCACCTTTGCCTATCACGCGGCCGGCAGCGAAGGAAGGCACCTTGATGTGGGCTTCAAGCTTCACTTCTTCTTTGGGGTTAAAGAAGTTCTCCTCTTTCAGCTTCCCAAATATTCTCCCCTGGGCCTGCAGAGGGGACGTAAGGGAAGTAATCCAGGTGGGCAGCAGTCCTGGGTGCTGCCTGCTGTGCCCTCCACCCCCCCCAGCACGATGTTGTGCCGATACCCAGCAGCGTCACAGCCCTGGGACTGAGCAAAGAGCTGCCCTGGCACCCAGAGAGGCAGATCCAGGCTGGGAGGTGCAATCCAGCTGCCCCTCAGCACCCCTCTGAGCACAGCCCCCCACCCCGTGGGCAGCACACCTTGAACTGGGCCTCGGGTGGCCCTGTGATGATGACCATCCGCTCGCTGGCATCGGGACCTTCTGCTGGGGCAATCTGTGGAGGTAAAGGGGAGCAATGTGAGCATGACCCTGCTTTGGAGAGACCCCCACACACCTCTGTGGGACATCTCCCCATTGGAGGGGAGTCCCCCCATGCAGGAGCATCCCCTCCACCCAACAGGGGTGTTGCAGGACTGAGTTTCTACTAACCTAGGGAGCAAAACCTCTCCCTGAGAGCTCCCCCCCTGCAGCAGGAAAGGGAAACTGAGGCACAGAGGCCAGGACCAGCTCTTCAGTGCCCCGCTCACCTTGATGGAGGCTCCAGCAAACCTGGCCAGCTGCTTGATGTGCTGCCCCTTCTTCCCAATGATGGCCCCCACGGCCTGTGTTGGGATGAACAGGTTCACCACCTCCTGCTCCGGCACCTGAGGAGGGCACGGCACAGCCAGATGGTCAGTGGGCCAGGGGACAGCTGCCCTCCATGCCAGCATGCCACCCAGCCACATGCCCACCCTACAGAGGGAGGGCTGGGGCACTTACTGAGTGCTGGGGGGCAAAGGCACCAGCTGGGGGGGCTCCGTACAGACCCGAGAGGTACGCTGAGGAGCTCTGCCAGGAGAGAAAGTGAGGATCAGGGATGTCCCCCCGACGTGCCAGCCCCTTCCTGGCTGCCCCAGCCCACCCCAGTGCCACTGCTGCGTGCCTGGCGGGGGCACAGGGACAACCCTTCAGCCCCCAAAACCCCTCCTGGAGAGCACGGGTGCTGGGAGGTGGGTGGGAGCTCTCAGCTGCACCCAGTTCCTCCCTGCTGCTGCTTTTGGCTGTGTCCTGCTAGTGCTTCCAGCAGAAAACCAACCCCTAGGGCCTGTTGGAGCAGCTGCAACCCTGGAAAGCCAAAACTGTGCTGTAACCACCACCAGGCCACTGCAGAGGAGGGGGGTTTGGTGAGAACTGAGCAAAACATCTGGTTTGGCTCTGATTTCCATCACCATGTCCCTTCTCCAGTTCCCAGAGAAGACAAAGCAAAGGCTGAAGGTGTTCTCCCAACATCTGGGCTGGGGATAGGGAGAAAGCAGTAGGTCTCTCCATGGATATAAACAAGGGGTGGATGCCAGCACCCCAACCCAACTCCTCTTCAACTCTTCCACATCTCAAATGCCTCAGACAGTTCTCCTGGCAGCACACACAACTCTCTCCCACTCTAGATTTGGGCAAGTGCAACCAGATGCTACCTGCAAACCATGGTTACTCAGGTGGAGAAGACCCAGGTCCCCTTGCTCCCAGCCCTCCACTTGCCCCCACTGCACTGAGGTTTTGTGCTCCTCCTCACACCAACCTCCCCGTGTCCACCCTCAGCTTCTGGCCACGGGCTGCTCCATGTCTCCTACACCCATGTGTCCTCTCCTGCCCACCCTGGTCATCACAGCCTGGGTGGGCACC